CCATTTTCCAGTTGGTTTAATAAAAGGTATCATTTTGGAACCAAGAGTTTTAGTTTTTTGTATGTCTTAGTGTGAGATAAGATCACAAACTGCAAGCAGGGAAAACTCCACAGCACCTGTTGAGAGGCACAAATGAAGGATACCCTAAGCCAGTGGTTTTCAATCCTGTCCATGGGGCGCATCTAGGGAGTCTGCAAAAGGTAAAGATGGCTATAGAGACACTGACTGAAGGGGAAGTGCCGCCAGTGCCGCTGCTCCAGCTCCCTCCATTGCCTGAGACTGCTCAAGTACCAGCAGAAGGTAGCCCAGTGCCAACAGGCAAAGCATGTGCTGCTGCTGGTGCTCCAGCTCTTCCCTGTGGCCAGAGGCTACCCTAGCATCAGCAGCAGGCAGTCTGGAGCCAAGGAGGGAGCTCTGACTGCTGCTGGTGCTTGGGAGGAGGCCTCTGACCATGGGGGAGCTGGAGCACCAACAACAGGCAAGGTAGTAGGCAGGGTGTGGTTGGGTAGCATCACCTCATCCTGTCCCTGCCACTGTCTCAAGTGAAATCCAGTGCCACTGCAAAAGGAAGATCCAAAGAGGGTCCATACCCCCGTTCTCCATTTTTTAGGGGTCTAGCAGCTAAATAAAAGATGACAACTACTGCCCTAAAGTAATATAGCAGGCTTGTTTGGCAATCAGAAAATTGTCCCACAGACTGGAAGGGCAGAAAATCATTGCAGCTAATCTCAGCAGTTGTCCATGCTGTGCCAGTAAGCGGCTCTGTAATGACAGGCCCCTATTTGGGCGAAAACCTGAGAATAGCAATGTGAAAAGTCTTAATGAAGTGAGAAAAGGTCAGCAAGGACTGAGCTCAAGCTCTGGGCAACAATGTAACCAGTATAACTAGACCGGACAAACTGTGGGAATTAGCAGGCTTACGCGGTTTTGAGTGGTGCAATTAATACTGAAATTCCTGGAATTGGCAAATGGCTAGTGCAGTGGTACTCAACCTACCACTTGTGGGCCAGATCTGGCCCCCAAAGCAACTAGATCAGGCCCATAGTACAGGGCATCAGCAACAGGCAGCTCAGCCCTGCACATCCCCTTCCTTAACCTGCGAGTACGCTGCTGATACTCCTCCACAGCCCTCCCTGCTCTCTCCCTCAAATGAATTTTACAAAAGGTACCTCAGTCAATCAGATAGTTATTTTTTGCCTACAAAAAAAAAAAAAATATTAGGACTGCTTTGAATATAGAATTGATATTTGTGCCTTGGATTCTTGTCGTATTGGCTGGTTTCAAGAATATTCACAAGCACCTTCTCTTCTATAAACAGTTATTTTGGTGTAATTCCATCAAAATACCAGCTTGTATTTATATTTTAAAGTTTATAGATCATGATGCAAAACATGTGGGCATGGTAAGCCCACTGCTGCAAGGTGCCAATCATAGTTTACACAGATCAAGCTCCAGAACACATCCTCTTCAAAATGCAAACAGGGCAAGTGTCTAGTATACATGCTAATCTGCAGAAACACCACTGGTTAAATTTACAACCAACACCACAAAGTATATCTTTAGAAAGTGTTTCCTTAGAGATGCTGTCAATTCTGATGTTCTTAGCCTGTAGTAATAAAGCTGCATCCCCCCTAGTCCTGGTAATGCTTTTGTTGACTATTAAATTATAACACAGTTGCATTTTCATAACACTTTCTACAGGCAAGTATATCACAAGCATCATTTTACAAATGGGATAAAAAACAAAAGAGCACATAGAGGTTATAGCCCAGCTTTTGTTAAGTCACCTGAGATTTTTTTTAACTTTTTCCTGATGAAGTTTAAAATGTCTGAACAACTTAGGAGACCTAGGACTATTTTCATATTACCTACATTTACCCCACAAATAAGACATGCCCCTCGCTTTGGGAAGGCACAATGAAGGAAAAAGATTCTTCCAGAATCTGAACTGCTACAGCTCAGGCTCACCATAGCTAAATGCTCTTGACCGAATGCAGAGGCAGAGTCCACTCCACAGTGTCACTCACCTTCTAGCTGCAGTTCCACACTTGGAGGTTTAACCCACAGCCATGAATGGACTGGCTGCAACTTTTGGCTACTCAGCCAAAAAGTATTATCACAGCCACTGCTAAATTGATGAGGAGTAAACCTGTAGCTACAGAACAGAAGCTAGAGGATGAACTCCATTCATCCATGTGTGGGTTCTACACAAAGCCCAGCCCAGCCCAGCCCAGCATCCCTCCCAACCCCCCACCCCGTTCCTCCTCCAGCAGCCATTCCATGCTTCTATTCTAGTGAAGAAATCAGTTTCATTGCTTAAAATAAGCATTCCTATTTTGGAAGTTTCTTTTTGGGGAAAAGGTGTGCGTGGTAAATGGCTAAGTGCAGTAGTTTCCGTTCTTAGAGTGTGTCCACACTGCCAAGAAGTAGGGGGTACTAACTCAGAGCAGGTACAGTACTTCAATCCCTGAGCTAGCTCATGTGGTTATCTCCACATTGCATTGGACATAGATCTAGTTATGGCAGTGCAGATGGTCAGCAAAATTTGCCAAAGTGCCTAAGTAATGTATGGCGCAATTTTGAAAGGCATTCTTTGGTGACACAGATAAATAAATCACTATACTCCACTTGCCATCCCAGGCCTCCTGAACCTTACCTCTTCCACTATTCTGTTAATCTATTTCAATCCATGAACAGACTTTTTTCCTTTCCCCTGCCAGGTCCCAGATCAGTGCGGCTGGGCAGGGGTCAACCCACAAGTCTTAGACACAGCCACCACCTGCCTGAGGCTCCACAGTGTCACAGATGCTAAAGCATGGGCTCTTGTCTGTGCTCTGACAGCTGGGGCAAGAAGCCCTGCCCTGGTAGCTGAAACACCAGCAAGAGCAAGTGGCTTTGAGAACCGGCCTGGTTGATGTGGGGTGGGGGATCAGTCACCAGAGTTACCCCTTACTTCCCTACCAGAGAGCTCCAGTACTGTGCAAAAGGTGGCCTGACTCCCCCATGTCCTTTGAATAGTATCAAGGATCTCCAGTACTGTTCAGAAGATGGTGCAGATTCTGCCATTTGAGCAGCCCTGGATATTTCCAGGGATGCTTAGAAGGGGTCTCGATTCTAGGTGCCCCTTAAAAGAGTCTTAGGACTGTTCTCCTCACCCCACCACCTTTGCAGGGTGGGAAGCTGTTCTTGGACAGAGGCTGCTTTGTGGCAGTTGCCAACTGCTCCTTGACAGCCTCCCAAAGGACTGAGAAGACCCAAGAAGCAGCCCTCTATTGTCCCCTGGCTCTAGAGCTCTTCTCCGAGGAGTTTCTGTAACTCTCCAGCCAGGGGAATGGAAAGTCTGCACACCTCCGTTTAAGACGCTTTCCTAGCTTATCCATACCCTAAGTCAACAACGACCTCTTTTAGCAGCGAATAACAAAGGCTAACCAAACACTCTTTGAAGTAGTTCTTTTTAATTGTTTTGTATTTATTGGTTAGTAATGCTGCCCCTTTCTTGTGTTATGAAGCAGCATAAAAACGGACTAATCAGCTTTCAATGTAGTTCTGATGAGCTTGAAAATCTGAAGTCCTATCTAAACCCTTTTCTTTCCATGACAAGTATCCAAGCTTTTGTGATCACTCATATGCAAATCCTACTATTCTAACCATCTTCATTGCCATTCCCCAAGCCAGGAGTGGGCAAAAATACAGCCCACAGACTAGATGCGGCCTGCCAATTGAGTTTACCCAGCTCACAGGCTAGCAGCAGCACTCTACAGCAGGCCCTGGCCTCTGGTGCTGGGTAGCAACTATAGCTCCAGCCTTTGCTGACACCACGGGGGATGCTGGGTGGAAGCAGCCCTGCCCACCTGCCTGCCTGGAGGATGGAGTTCAACCTACCCAAGGCCTGTAGGACTGGACTACAATGGAAGCAGCCCCACCTGCTGTCCCAGCATTGTGCAGCACCAGCATAGGCCACGGCTGAAGCACTGCTCATCCAGGACCTGCCGCATGGTGTTGTACAGGTAGGGCTGCTTTTGCCCAGCATCCCCACTGCAGCACCTGGGACATGCAGCACCCTGGACCTGCAAAGCCAGACTGCATTTCCCAGGTGCTGCAGGGGACACTGGGCAGAAGCAGCCCCACTCACCTGGTACTGAATAGCAGGCCCTGGAAGAGCCACGGGAGACAGTCTGGCCACAGGCCTCTGCACTGTCTCATCGCACACCACCATCAGGGTTCCTGGGAGCCATGTAAGTGTGCCTGTGTGCGCGTGCATGTGTGTGCAAATGCATGTGTCAGAAGCCCTAATGGCAAGGTGGGCAGCACCAAGGCCCAAAGTCAGATGAAAACCCCTGTTCCCCCAGCTGCGCACATGACCGCATGTGCAGGGTTTGGGAAGAGGGGACCAGAGCATGCTACAGCCCCAGTTAGGCTTATGGCCCTGCTCTGGCACCGGCCCTGGCCCTAATGCAGGGGGTGTACATATGTCTACGCATGCATACGTGTGCGCACGTTTGTGCGTGAGGCTCTCAACAGCTCACCAAAACTCACTAAGTGCCCCCCAGCCCAAATAATTGCCCAACCTGCTCTAAGCTTTTTCTCAATCTTAGCTTAAAATAAGCAGTAGCCTCATATTCTGGGCTCTTTTAAAGTTTTGTCTGAGAACTTACCATGAAAATTATGTACACCCGTTTCCTTTTTACAGATTTGTAAAACCTATGAAGCTCTTGGTCATTCAACTATCAATGTACCAATGCATTGGCTTCAAACCCCTTTAAAAAAATCTTTAAAAAGAACAAAATTCTGACCTTATGAGATATTCTGATATCTATACTGCATGTATGCTGAGAAGTCACTTACAAGAAGATATGCAGCAATGGCAACATCTTCGTATACAAATTTTTCAGGATCAGTTACTTCAGGCCACACCTGCAGATAAACAAGGAAAAATAATCTATTACTTTGCCATTGTTATAAACTGTTGGTTTAGAGAGTGTGCTCAAATACCCAGGTTTTCATAGTCCTCTAGTCCAGTGGTTGTCAACCTTTTTTGTATTAGGACTCATTTGTAAATATCAGTGGCCAGTCCCAACCCAGTACCCCTCACTCCCACCCCTCACTGGAACTCTGCCAGCCTAAAAGAGAAAAGCCACAGTTTACTGCATTTTTCTCCTTTAAAGGAGAATCCATTTTTAAAGTCTGTTCACGACCCTTTCGTATATTTTTGCAACCCACTTTTGGGTCTCAACCCACAGGCTGCTCTGGTCTTCAACCCACTACCTTACAGACTTTAACCTTCCAGTAGGCCTGTGCGAGTAGGCAGCTATTCGATCCGGCTTCGGATGCCAGCGATCCGATCTGGAGCTCCGGATCAGTTTCCCGCTTCGATCCAGCCAAAGCGGCTCCGAAGCTTCAGAGTCACCTTGGAGATCCAGCCATAGGGTATAATGGGGAATCAATGAAATATCTATAACTTTGTTTTTTCTCTGATTTGGATGACACTTGCAGGGTGGTAGCCTCTGCAGACAGCATGAAAGCTGCCAAGTTTCAAGAATATCAGTGCTGGGGTTTGGGGGGAGCTACACCCCAAATTCTTGCAAGCAAAGCTGCAGGCCTGCTAGCGCCCGCTGCAGCCACGAAGCCTGCTAGCTGTCAAGGAGGTAGGTGCAGGGGTGCTGGGGCCCTGCACCTCTAGCTGCTAACAGGCAAAACTCACGACATGGGTGCTTACGCAACTGACTGTCTCCATCTTGGGGCAATTGTCTGTATTGATTAAACACATAAAACACCAAAGTTACAGATATTTAATTGATTTCCCATTACACCCTATGGCCGGATCTCCGAAGCGACTCCAGAGCGGCGTCCAAATCTTCTCCAGATCCGAAGCACGGTCCAAAGTCTCGCATAGCCCTACCTTCCAGCTCACTCAAAAAAAGTATTATTCAATCTTAGGAACATGAACAAGAGACTACATGATTTTTTTGGGAGTTGCCCAATAGAGTAATTGGTGTGTGAACGTGGAGAGAGAGAGAATATCTTTCATCATTGAACTCAAACAAGTTTTCAGGAAAGATAGTTCTGTATATGCAATTTGCAATGACCAAACGAAAGCACACGCTTTCTACACGCTAGTAGAGAATACATTCGTTTGTTTATTTCATTACTCAGAAAGAAATCACATAGGCATAACTGAAAGAGTCAACCATTGCAAAGATTATGTGGCATTGTTTTATTACAAAAAAGCAGAATTTAGTATAACAGAATTCTGAAGAATTAAAAAAAATAAACATAAAAAGGAAGTTAAGGGGTAGGAAACAGGATGTAGTTTTACCTCCACACCTGAGAAACTGAGGTACAGAAAAGGTTAAGCGGTTTCCCATAGTCAGACTTTTCATACGAAGAAAGTCCATCACAAAGCTGGGAATTGAACCCAGATTCCCTGAGCCATAATCCATTATTTTAAATCATAAAATGAACATTTCTCTTTCTTTTATACTGATATCTGCACACCACTGGAAAGAATGTCCCTTCAGCATTTGTATTGGTTGAAAAAGCACCTGTTGAATCTCCTCTGGTTTGACTTTTGAGCCATGAGTTCCAAAAAGCTAAACCCCTTTTTCAAAAGCTTAGACAGCAATTTGTAAAGGTATTTAGATACCTTAAAGCAGAAGCACTTATAATGCTGACTGAGTCCAATGACTAGCAAAACAACAAAAGAAAGGCCACGCTTCTGTCAACAACTGCAAAAGCATCTGAGTTCCCCTTGCACTGCACTAGACTGGAGCAACCTAGTCACACTATGCTCTTTTCACCCTGGAGAATTAGTCCTCACAGAGACCTGTACTAATGCACTTGGACTACATCTGGTAGAGCAACTAGTACATTTATACTGTGTACGACAGATGTACACACTAAAAAAGCAACCACAGCATGTAAGAAACTAAGGCCATGTACAGGTATTACAGTTCTACCAAGAGCATCACCCTTCTCCTGGTAGAAGTGACAAGTGTATAAACGGTTGTTCAATTTTCCATGAGGGAAACATGCCCCCGCCCAGAAGACCTTCACAGTGTCAACCTGGAATCTCTCTCTTATGAGACATTTTCTCTTGGAACAACAAATGCTTCTGTGCTCATCTCCCAGTCTGGTCCAGGAGCAGCAGTGACTACCCAGCCCAGGTTTGCACTCTTGCTCCCCTCCCCACCATGATCCATCTGGGAATGGAGAAAAGCAGTAAGGAAATGCTCCCCACCCTTTCCACAGACCAGGGCCTGCCTGGGAGGGGGCCTGTGGGCAGCAGCCATGCGGGAGAAACTCATCCTTGCACAGCACCTTAAAGCCAGGACCTACAGCCCAGACCTGTCTCAGAACAATTTCTAGCAGGTGAGATTTCTCAAAAATGTACACCTGCTAGAAATGAATATCTGTTCAAGGCTTAAGTCTCAGTTGTTTTCAATTTTATTCCTCCAAACAAAGATCAATAATATAGAACTACATTGAATTCTCTTCCATATGCATAATAAATCTTTAAAACAAGAACAAATTTTAATTTAATGAAATAAAACTTTTTCTTTCAAGTAAAATCCAGGTTCACTTGTTATCAACCCTTGTTCTGACAGAATATCACTCTGGGATTTATGGTCTTTACACTTACCTTCACCATCTCTTTATATTTTTCCTTTAGTTCTTGATAAATCTTGCTGTACTTTGCTACAGAAATGAGTGAGAGTGTGCTTTTAAACTCGCTCTGTTTTTGCTCCAGGGACCACTTAGCCAGTTTGGACAACAGTTCATTTCCCAACCATGTTGTTTTGGGATACACAATTCCATCTGAAACCCAGCTTTCTGGAGATGAAGTTATAATAGAGATAGACCTTTGAAATACATATATAAAAAAAAAACCGAAATAAATTTTTCAAGGATTAAACCAAGTACATTTATTTTTGCATGAATCTTAGTCCTCACTTAGTCCTAACCAACTTCAGTAGAAACGAGAAAGCCTAACATTAAGTACTCCTAAAAATCCTTCCACAAGCATTGGGGACAGGAACTGACTTATGAAGGAGGAGAAAAACAATTGATATTGACTGGGGTGCTCAACCTTTTGGTACAGCAGGCCAGATGGGACTTCATGTGTCAGGATGAGGCCCCACACCACCTCCATTCTGTCCATTGCCCAATGGGACCCTGCACTGCCTCCCTCAACCCCTCACCAAAAGATCAGGTTCTGCATTGCCCAACTGGGACCCTGCACCACCTCCTTGGGCCATGCACTGCCAGATCCCCTGCTGCCAATTTTTCAGACCCCTGGGGATCCTTAAGGGCCAGCTGGCATGTCTCCACAGGTTGAATCTGGCCTGTATGTTGGGGCTTGAGTACCCCTGATATTTATAATTTGGCTATAGGACCACAGGAAAGTAGGGTTAGAAGCGGCCTCATGAGGTCAAGCAAGGAAAAAGAGACAGATCTGGCTAGAAGCAGAGAGCAGAGCAACCAATTGGGCAAGGAGCAGACAGTAGAGCAACAGACTGGACAGGGAGCAGAGAGAAAGGGCAACACAGCAACAGGTCAGATAGGAGAAGGGGATTGTAGTTTCACTTGGGGAGGGCATGAGGATTACTTAGCAGCACACCTGACAAAAAGACCCCCAACTGACATATGCAATCCATTTGGTTTCCAATACTCATGACTTTATCATCCCATGTCCTAGCTGGTAGTTCCAACCACACAAGCACTTTACTTTCTCATACAACTAAACTTTAGAAGATACTCTCTTTGGTCATATTATATGGGGGGGAGGGTTTAAAATCTGAAATCAGATGAAGTGATTCAGAGTCCTATTTCATGAAAACTGGAACAGGTATATTCTACAATTTTTTTAATAGCAATTATTAATCATTATTATTGAGAAACACTAAATATCTGCTAATTCAACTAAGACTACATTATAACTACTCAAAGAATGTATTAATTTAAAAAAGATTATTCTCATAAAGGAGTAGGGTGAAACTCCCATTGACCTCAACAATGTAAGATAAAGCACAATCAAGAACTGGATAAGCAGAATACACTCAAGACAGATCTTTGAGAACAATGTACTAATAATACTATGTTAAAGATTAATTTAGATGTGAAAACACTGACCTAGGACAACCAGTGAATATCTATCCCATGAATATAGGTGCAGGGTTAAGCTTTATAGTATGCAAACTATAATTCAGACCTGTAATACCAAAGGATGGTCAAATCTCAAGCTAGTGTAAGTGTTAGCTTCTACTGGCACTTACCATTCATTATCTTTTATGTGTTTAAGTTGAATTTGATATATGTTGCATTTTTTCAGCTGGTATTTCCCATCATCACTTTCTTCCAATGGTAAAAATGTCACAGTTCCATTCAAAACATCTGAAAAGATTGGTAAATGGTAGAATGTTATTTAATATGTAGAGAAAGGATCTCATACCAAACTTCTACTCTCATTATGTAAAGCTACTGAAGTGGTACACAATTTGCAGTATCTAGTATCCTGCTAGAAGATGTTTTACAAAATTTCTAACCCCAATCCTACAAATTCTTAGGCATGTGATTAACCTGGCCAATAACAACATCCTGAGGGATAGCTAGCACAGGTTTGTTGTAGGTTGGTCTTGCTTGACCAATCTTATTTCCTTTTACGACCAGGTGACCTATCATCTAGACAAGGGAGAAGAGAGCAGAGCAACCAATTGGGCAAGGAGCAGACAGTAGATATATATCTTGTCATATATCTTGACTTTAAAAAAAGACTTTGATCTGGTATCCCACGTTCACCTCTTAGCAAAACTGGCCAACTGCGGCCTCAGCTTCACCACAATCTGCTGGGTGGGGAATTGGCACTGTGGTCAGACCCAGAGGGTGGTGGTCAACAGAAGTCAATCGTCATGGTGCGCTGTGACCAGCGAGGTCCCTCAAGGCGCTGTCCTTGGGCCAACACTATTCAACATCTTCATTAACGATGTGGACATTGGTATCAGAAGTGGACTGGCCAAGTTCGCTGATGACACCAAACTTTGGGGTAAAGCGTCCTCACCTGAAGACAGGAGGGTGATCCAGGCTGACCATGACAGGATCAGGAAATGAGTGGACGAGAACCTGATGGTGTTTAACACTGAAAAATGCAAGGTTCTCCACCTTGGGAAGAAAAACCTGCAGCATGCTTATAGGCTTGACAGTGCTACGCTGGCTAGCACTACAGACAAAAAGTACTTGGGAGTCATGACTGACCACAAGATGAACATGAGCCTTCAATGCGATGCTGCTGCTAGTAAAGCGAGCAAAACACTGGCTTGCATCCATAGATGCTTCTCAAGCAAATCCCAGGACATCATTCTCCTGTTGCACTCTGCAGCTGGAGTACTGCATCCAGTTTTGGGCTCCACAATTCAAAAAGGATGTGGAGAAGCTTGAGAGAGTCCAGAGGAGAGCCATGCACATGATAAGAGTTCAGGAAAATAGACCTTATGATGAGAGGCTGAGAGCTATGGGACTCTTCAGTCTGGAAAAGCGCAGGCTCAGGGTGATCTCGTGGCTGCCTATAGGTTTATCAGGGTGCTCACCAGGATCTGGGGAAACATCTAATCACCAGAGCACCCCAAGGGATGACAAGGTCAAACGGTCACAAACTCCTCCATGACCATTTCAGGCTGGACATAAGAAAGAACTTCTTTACTGTCTGAGCCCCCAAGGCCTGGAATAGACTGCCACTGGAGGTGGTTCAAGCACCTATTTTGAATGTCTTCAAGAGAAATTTGGACGTTTATCTTGCTGGGATCCTATGACCCCTGCTGACTTCCTGCTGCTGGGGGAGGGGGCTGGACTCAATGATCTTCCAAGGTCCCTTCCAGCCCTAATGTCTATGAAATCTATGAAACAGTGATCATACTGATAAGGTTGACATACAATTCAACAAAGCAATGCGAATCATTACAGGAACAATTTGATCGAGCCCTCTTAAACGGCTCCTTATTCTTAGTAACTTAC